TCTATCTTTTATGTCCACCCATATCAATCTCCACGTGTGTTTTTACATCTTAATATTTTATTGATGTTCCTCTGAGTATGTTTTAATACTGCTTTTCGCTTTTAATGTTCACTAATATAAATCTTTTATTTGAAATAAATTTTATCTGTCTAAATGAGCTACAATGTTTCCACATTTTTCTCCAAGAGAATTACAATGGTTAAACATATAGTAGTGACCATCTCATAATTCATTGTATAATGAACTATATAATTCAAACTATATAGTTTGGTTGATGGTGGACCGGATGATATAAATAAATGAAGGAACAAAGAAGTACATAGATAAAACATTAAAATAAAGAGTGAATAATATAGTTGAGTAACCCATATTTTTTCTTTCTTTTTCTATGCTCCTATTTTTTTAAGACATTAAAACTATAATACTATTTTCTGATCCACTGTCTCATAATTTCTTTTTCACCTTGTAGTTTTGGTTGGAATTTTATTTTGCATACAAGTAATGGCTGCAAAAACAAATGAACTAATTCTTATAAGAAAAGCACTTTTAAGCTATGTATACTGTTAGACTTGTATTTATACATTTATAGCCAAAAAACCGGGTATACTTATACAAAACAGGTTCAAACATAGATAAATGTTGCTAAATAATATTTAGTTCCTGCATATCAATATTTAAAATAATCAAATACAACGGTTAATACTTAGAAACTAGAATCTACTAAGTTTTTAAAATATAATTAATTTCTTTAGTGAATTTTCCATTTTTCCTCTATTTTTTAACAATGACTTCTACTTTATTTTTTATTATTAGCTTTGGTACTTTAAATAAACATTTAAAATTGAAATGTTGTTCTTGCTTAGAAATAATTTAATGTATTTTATGTCAATGAATTTTTGGTTCTCTCACTAGGGAAGACAGCAAATTAGAGTATACTAATCTACCTTTAAGCACACAATCAATTAGTTTTCAAGTGTTGACTACTCGAAATTGTACACTTGAAAAGTCATAAAGTTGTGTTTTTTCTTGTTTGTTTCTTTTAATCCATAAAGTCTCTGCTTCTAGCTGTGAGTTTGGGAAACCCTGCCAGATCACACTGAATTTTGAATTACTTCATGGTACAACCTAAAAAACAGATTGAAACTCTCACATAAAATATATTTTTTCATCCATTCAAGACTAGTTCCTCCGACATGTATAAAAGAAGATTCAAATATATAAATGTGTAGGTCTGAGTATTAGTTATTAGTAGTGACTTTGTTCCTTGAAATGTAATTTTCTAAAAAATACCCATTCATCTCAATAGGCCTCATCTTGGCATCATCAGTACTACTGACATACGGCCAGATGCTTTCTCGAGGATTTGGTCCTTGTAAGGACACCACATGAAATCTTGGGCCACCTGTTATTTGAAAAGATAAAACAAACCTTCAGCACATATGCTAAATAGTCAAGCATTGTAGGTTATTCACAGGAAAGTCTTATAAAGGAATCAGGTTAAAATTATGTACTCATGAAGGAATATAAGAAAAAGAGAAATATAAATATTTCTGCAGCAACCCTAAGAAGTAAAATAACTTCAAATAAAATAAACGCACTGACGCTATTTTGTTCACATTTTGTTATTTCTCATTTTCACATTATTTCACCAAATGTTGAATAGTCTTACAATGGATTTATGTAAAATGGGAAAAAAGGAAAAGAAGGGAGGAAACTAGGAGGAAGGTGTCTGGGTTTCAGTTCTCCAGTGTGCTAACAGCGTCACAAATAGATGAATCACCATTACTTTGGGGCACTTCCAGCTCTCCCTTCTGTATAGTAAGCATGTGGTCACCTCTTCGACCTACTTCAATGCTTTCTTGGAAGAATCAAATTAGAGAATATATTTGATAGTATTAACATATGATGACTTGACAAATACATGAAAAATAACACTAGAAATTGAGGCAATATTCATTCTTGAGATGCATATTTTACTTAGGCATAAATAGAGTAACAAATGCTTTTTAAAATTCTGTGGCAGCACCTAGTAACTAAAAGGTGTGAGCCGGCAGGAGATCACATCTACAACACAAGGCCAGTGTAGAGCAAAATAGCTTTATTGCATGCGCCTGGGTGCAGGCGGGTAGAGCTAAAAAAAAAAAAAAAGCCCAGCAGCCACTTTCGTTGTTTTCTGGCTTTATATAGACACAAACTACAGAAACTACAAAAACACCACGTTAATAAACCCCACATTCTCTTGGTGCCACATAATTGGTGCCGGGGCTGATATAAGCTGTCTCAGAGGTAAAGGAGGAATCAGCTTCAGCAGAGGTCTGGGCCATCATTAATCTCTTTCTTTTTATGGTCCCTCCAGGTTTTCCAAGGCCACCATTAACCCTTAGCTTTATGTCTCCTCTGGGTGTCAGTCCCAGGGTTTTTTTTTTAGAAAACTGCTCGGGTGTTTACGTGCAGGAATAACTGGTCAGAGTGGAGTTTAATTTTGTTAAAACATTATTAACCCTCTCAGTAACCACTGTAGGTGGCTAGGCAATGATGATGTCAGGAACTACAAATACTTTTTATTCATTATTGTATTTAACCTTTACAATTATCTGAGCTTACCTATTTTATTAAGCCCTGTAATCCTCAATTACCCAAAAGAAAGAATTCAGGCAACTCTACATGATTCCAACTGAAGATCACATATTATTCAATATGTATATTTTCAAAATGTTATATACATGAGAGTAAAAATATTTAGAAAATTCTTACATATCGAGGAATTGAAAGCTTAATAGTAGAAGCAAATCATGCAAATATTTATATTACAAGATAGTATATGTGATGATTTCCTAAAGGGTGTGGCAAGCAAATTGAGGGCAAGGTGAAATCCTGTGCAGAATTTATAAAGAAATGATAATATAGTCTTTTGGGGAAATACTCAATTTCATGAAGGGATATAGAAGATAATCAAAGATGAGGGGAGTAACACTATAGTAGCTTTTTTTTAAGTAAAAGCGTGCCCTATAAATAATTATTCTGAGATAATCTAAGCAAATAAGGGCAAATCGCCACCAAAATAATGTCATTATATGTTAGGGAAAAAAATATATAAATGATTTTTATTTACTCTTGAAAAATAACACATTCATAAAATAACTTTTATATTTCAAATCTATGATTTATTTCAGTTTTAAATTTTGCTTTTGGCAAACATACCTTACAAAGAAATATTCAATATGCTTGGTAGTAATCACTTTCTGTACACTAACACATTTTAAAAAATTACCTGTTAAAATCTACCTTTTTTTTTTTAGATTGGATTCAATCTTATAGAACTAGTTAATGCATCATTAATCAGTTATACCTAAAACCATCATGTCCCCTATTCATTTTCGTGTTAATTTAATGGGTATTATATCTACTTAGTATTAGTTTCAGCTACCAGTGCAAGCCAATCATTTAACTATTTCCTCTCACAATATTGGTATTTTCTGTATTCATTAAAAAAGAATGTCCTAGAGATAAACCACAGAACTTAAATGTATGTATGTATGAACAATGGAAATGGACAACAGAGGTGGGGACAGGTGGGGAGGGATAGAGAGGGGGGAATCAGTGGAGGAAAAAGGAGAAATATCTGTAACAAAAATAAATTAAATAATAATAAAAAAAAGAAAATTAAAAAGAAAAAAAGAAAAAGAATGTCCTAGCTATTCCTGGGGCGTTGACCCTGAAAGTTCAGTTATTTATTCTTTCTTTCTTTTCTCCCTTCCTTCTTCTTTCATTTTTTTTCTCCCTCTCTTCTTTTCATTTCTTTTTTCTTTCTTTTCTTTCCCTTCCTTCCTTCCTCCCTCCCTCCCTCTTCCTTCCTTCCTTCCATTTTCTTCTCTACCTTCTTCACCCCTTTTCTTTTTGTTTTTTAGTAAAATATTGCTTATCATTTAGCATGTTGGATTTTTCAGCAATGTAATATTCTTTTCAAATTATCTTATGTATCTAATCTATGAGTAAAGGAATTCTTTTCTGAAAATAATACTTCTAATATCCTCTATGCCTTGTCTCATAATTTGTTACTTGCCAAATAGTACATTTATTTACTCAAGATTTGGAGGTCTGCCTTGTCTACAGACCGACAGGAGTTCTGTCTCCGAACCTGCCCAGTTTTCGGTTGCCTGCCACTCGACCAGTTGATCAACAATCCTCTCATTTACCCCATATCAGCAGGTTTCATGATTGCCTCTCCATTTTGCTTATTTGAGTAATATTGTTATTTGTCAGAATTCTCTCTCCCTTAGTATCAGAACTTAGTAGTAGCCAAGTTTGATGGAAGATGTTCAGCTAAAATGCTATTTGAAGTAAAACATTTCCAAAACAGTGACAGATACTGGACGGTTGAGGGTTAAACTGAGCTGAAGTCTGTGATGTACAGACAAGATCCAAATGCCTTAATTTTATTTGTTTGCTTTCTCTTCAGTTTTTCCACATTATTCATGTTTTTAAATATGTTTAAATATGTTTTTAAAGTTTACAAGAATTGAAACAAAGATGCTTAACATAACAGCATCTTATAAATATTCTGGTAAATTATAAAAATCACATGTTACTAAAGATATTAAATTAAATATCATCTAAGGCTTATAAATAGTGATTCCATTGGTAAAACTTATTTTACATAAAAGAAATCATTGAGAAGATTTTCTCAATTGGTAATTCAGTTCAATGACTGCTAAATTGATATTGGTAGCATTATTGTTCTTTGATATGTCTTAGTGGTATAACTATGTCAGAAATTTACCAAATGATTTTTAAATTGTATTCCAGCCAATGTAGAGAGTTTTGTAGTAATATACATTAAATTGTCTCATGAAATTAGGCAAACTATTTTTAAAGTATGTACAATTTATTAATCTTGTCATAAATAAATATGGTATTACTTCAATATAGCAATTACATTGAAAATGCAAATAATAAATTTGGATCAGCATTGTTCATATTTTTTTTAAATTTTATTTCAGCTGTGAATGTGCATCTGGATGGACTGGACAAAACTGTAGTGAAGAAATAAATGAATGTGACTCTGACCCATGCATGAATGGAGCTCTTTGTCAAGAATCTACCATCCCTGGGCAATTTGTATGCCTATGCCCACCCTTTTATACTGGGAAATTTTGCCATCAACACTATCACCCCTGTGATCCACTCACAGACCTTTGCAGAAACAACTCAACATGCTTGATTTTGGTAGATGGGAATCATTACTGTATTTGTAAAGAAGGTAAGAGCTTATATTTGTTTTTTCCACTTTAAAATATGTTTTTATTGATCTTTTTATTTCTTTTTTCTAATTAATTTTTTTTTTGTTACAGACATTTCTCCTTTTTCTCCCATTGACAGCCTCCTCCCGTTTCCACCCCCCACCCCCCAGCATTGTTGTCTATATCCTTTGGTTATGCTTATATGCAAAAGTTCTTCAGTTTATCTCTTCCCTCCCTCCTACCCCCATCTCTGAAGTTTGTCAGTCTGAACCCTACTTCTACGTCTCTGGGTCTATTTTGTTCATCATCTTATTTTGTTCATTATATTCCACAAATAAGTGAGATCATGTGATACTTGTCTTTCTCTGACTGGCTTATTTTGCTGGGCATAATGTTCTCCAGGTCCTTCCATGTTGTCTCAAAGGATCAGAGATCTTTCTTTCTTACAGCTGTATAGTGTTCCATTGTATATATGTACCACTGCTTTTTTAATCTACTCAACTGTTGATGGACACTTGGGCTGCTTCCAGATCTTAGCAATTATACATAGTGCTGCTATGAACATGGGGTACATATATAATTTCTGATTCGCGTTTCAGGCTTCTTAAGACATATTCCTAGACTTGAGATCACTGGGTCAAATGGCAGTTTAATTATATTATATTTTTGTTTTGTTTTGCTTTGTTTTCTCTATGAATGATGGCTTCTTAAGAATGGGCGACAGAAAACCTATATACATTGGCAGATGGGGCTATCTGACTCCAAATCCAGGTATATAAACACACTGGGGGAATAATCAAGAAAGTTACTCTAAAGCACAGTGGAGGAAAGGGAAAGGCGTGAAACTTGGTAGCTTGGGGCTCTTTTAATTTCTTTCTTTCTCTTAGAAAAATCTTGTATATGTAGCGTTCCTGACAGTACCAGTGAGTTAGAAGTGGACATATGTATAATCTAAGGCAGCGATTTTCAACAGGTATGCAGAAATCCTTTTTAAAACACGCAATGCCTGAATTTTAGTCAGGTGCACTGACATCTTTCCCAGTAGACTGTCAAATTAAAACATGACAACAGCCAGCATAACAATAGCCATCCAGTGTGAATGAATCAAAATTACACCTATTTTTTTTGTCAGATTGACAAAAAATTAAATAATTTTTTGTGTGCTGCAGAATTTTAGGAATTAGTATATGTGTGTCATGAGATGAAAAAGGTTGAAAATTGCTGATCTACGGTAATCAAATCTTCCTGTAACTTTTCTCCTAGCACTGTCTGTAAAAATTACTTCTTTCTGCTCAGATTGCAAAACTAGTATCATGTGACTGTGGTGGCTACTTTGTACTATACAGGAGAGAGCCCAAGTAAGAGATAGAGAATGGGCAGATCAAAGGATATTATTGGAACCCCTGAATTCATCCATACCTGAAACCAGGCTATGTCTAGTTTTTTGAGTCACATCAGTCAATAACATCACTGATTATCATTAAAGATTATTGATTGGGATCTCTTCAGCTATAACTGAAGGAGGTCCAATTAATGCAGAAGTAGTCTGGGAAAAAGGTCACCACTTACATACTGCTGACAACACAAGGTCTATTTTTATCTTCAGCAGCAATGCCTCTACCATAAAACTGGCACATAGTAGGCTTTTTATTGCAACTGGAATGTGTGATAAGCACAACTTTTAAACCACATTTTAGAGGTGGACAACTACTATTTATTTCCTAATACTCACTTATGGGTTAATGTTTCTTTCCTTGTTACTGGCTCTACTAGAAGAGTAGTCCTTTAAAGGTACGGATAATACTCATTTAATATTTTGTCCAGAAAAAAAAGCCAACTTAGACTATATCAATTAATTAGTTACCTTAATCAAATCTATTTCTGCTTGTTGTTATAAACCCTTCAAAACTTCCTGATTGTATAAACTAATCTATTATAAGACGATAGAGGCAAGTCCTTACACCTATGAACGAGACAGAAACTTCTGGGCCTACTGAGGGACTTTAACTAGAAACTGAAAAGACATTAGTAATTGTATTTTGTAAAACTGACATGGACATATAGCATATAATGTGGGCATATAGAAAATATGATAAATATTTTCAGGAATGAGACAGGAAAAGCTAAACAGGACACAATGTAAGGGAAGCATTTGTAGCCCTGCTAACCTCAGGAATTATGAAGTACATAATTTAAATGAATAGTTTTCCTTTTAACAAAAATTGAGAGTGAAACTTTTTGAAAAATTATTCAATAACAGGCCACTATTATTCAGCAGAATTATTCCATGGTGCTTTACTTGTTCCACTAATATATTCTCAGAATGTAAGTAACATATAAATATGTATTGAGAGGCAGCGGTATCTTTTCTCAATTTAAATAAAAACTCCTCTATTTTCAACAGATATAATTTTCTATGAGATGGGCATGGTTTTTTAAATCATATTTTCTTATAATGCATTTGCAATTCATAAATGCCTCTTGTGGATTTATATAATCTAGTGAGATTCCTTTCCTGTTGTGGGAGTAAGTTCAGAGATATCATAACATGTTATCATTGCCTATCAACTAGTGATAATATTTTCTATCTTGTTGTGCATCCACAAAAATACCATGGGGACAATTTAGATTTCACCATTCTATATAAGTATAATGTTGTATTTTTCCTTGGAACTTTGCCATTCTACTTAAGACTTCCAGAGAAATGTGACTAATGAAATCAATGAATAGAGTGGCAGGTAGGCACAATAATCTGTGTGTTGATCCCTTTCTAATTGTGATCCAGCACAGAGATATTTGAAGTGTATATCATTTCTAAATTATATATATGTATTTAATATAAAAATATGTTTCTAAAATGTAAGAAATTGTAGATTTCTGTAAATCAGGTCTAACTACTGTAAAAATGTTTACTTAATATTGCCTTTAGTAGTTCAGCTTTTGTAGCCAAAGTACTGTGAGTTTACTTTAAAAATCTACCTCAGTCTGGCCAGTATGGCTCAGTGGTTGAGCATCGACCCATGCACCAAGAGGTTGCCTGTTCGATTCCCAGTCAGGACACATGCCCAGGTTGTGGCCCCATTCCCCAGTGGGGGCATGCAGGAGGTGGCCAGTCGATGTTCTCTTTCATGGATGTTTCTATCTCTCTCTACCTCTCACTTCCTCACTCTCTAAAATCAATAAAGGAAAAAAAAAAGTTTTTGAATCTACCTCAGAATAGTAAAAAGTGGTTGGCTGAAATATTTTAGATATTGTTTCCAGAGTTACTTACTTTAATACTTATTATTGAAATTAGGGTCTATGTCAGAGAAATAACATCTTTTTTTTGAAGTAAATATTTAGATCAAATTTTATGTAGAAGATTACAACACTTGAAATTAGAAAGAATTCCAAGACTTCACATCTGATGCAGCTATAGAATGTGGAAACTCCCCTGGAACTCTGCCTGTTGGTGGTGTTTGTCCGGTGACCAGAATCGAGCAAGTCATGAGAAAAGAGATTTAAGGCTTAATATCTGAGAGTTCAGCTTATGTTTCTGAAATTCTGTTAATGATTTTTAGTCAGTCTATAGATTCCATCACAATTTACATATGAGTATAAATAAAATTCCAGAACCACAGTAATAATGTGACTACAGACTAGACAACTAAATTACAAATGACATTAAAATTTACCCTGAGAAACCAGCAAATACAAAAAACTAATCATTTGGTTTCTGCCAAATTGATTGCCCAGCAGGAAACTATTTTGCTTAGTGTGATTGAAACTTATAGTCAAAGCATTGTAATTCATTTGGGTGCAATGTGATCTACTTAAAAAGTATAGGTATAGTAAAATATCAGAACTATTGTGATCGTATTGCAAGAGAAAGTAAGAAATGCTCCGGTCTTCTGATTAGAACTGAGGTGAGTTAATTTGATCCCTATGACACTGACCATTTTTTAGTGGAAAATAGGTAGACAGAGAAGTATTTAATAGTAATAATTCAAGGCAAGTTTGTTTAATATATAATCCAATTTTCTTTTAAAAATTTATGTGATAAAACATCAGTGCTTTAATAAATATAAAATTATGACAGAAAGACAAATATAATTTCCTAAGATTCCTAGAAACAAATGGGTTTCAATCTTAGTATTCCACTAGTGTTTGCTTTGGTGATTTAGTGTGAATCAATTGACACCTCAAAATTTATTTCATAGTACACTTCATTTTTATACCCCTTTAAGTTAGTTTCTGTACACAGCACATCAATCTTGCAATTGCATGTTGATAATGTTCTAGAAGTTGGAAAATTATATTCCTTATTAACTGACTCAACAGATATATATTGATTTTCTACCATGTGTCCTTGGTTGAGGCAGGTTCTGAAGAAATTAACCATAGCAGAGACATGCCCACAAGGTATTTAAGGAACAAGGGAAATACACACAAGTTAACTAAACATTAAAGTGCAATGTCGTAAGAGCTTTCCCACTGATGATGGAGGCATGTGTGAGGAGAGAGGATTTGTGTATGCATAGCCCAGCTTTCTTGTTTAGTGTGACAACTTTGAGTTATGTCTCATATGATTTATTTTTTCCTCAATTTTATATTAATTTATTTTTGTTACAGATGCTTCCCCCTTTTTCCCCTTAGACACCCTCCTCCCCATCCTGCCTCCCCCAAACCCCCCAGCATTGTTGTCTATGTCCATTGGTTATGCATACATGCATATAAGTTCTTTGGTTTATCTCATCCATTCCCCCCTACCCCCCTCCTCTGAGGTTTGTCAGTCTGAACCATACTCCTTTCTATGTCTCTGTGTCTAGCTTGTTCATCAGCTTATTTTTGTTTACTATGTTCCACAAATAAGTGAGATCATGTGGTATTTGTCTTTCTCTGATTGGCTTATTTTGCTTAGCATAATACTCTCCAGGTCCCTCCATGTTGTCTAAAAAGATAAGAGATCTTTCTTTCTTACAGCTGCATAGTATTCCATTGTGTAAATGTACCACAGCATTTTTTTATCACTCATCTATTG